AAACATTTTTCCGCCCCTTTAAATTTTTTTTTTTTTTTTTTTTTAGAGACAGAGTCTTACTTTATCGCCTTTGGTAGAATGCTGTGGTATCACAGCTCACAGCACGCAGCAACCTGCCCACATCCTGGGCTTAGGCAATTCTCTTGCCTCAGCCTCCCGAGTAGCTGGGACTATAGGTGCCTGCCACAGTGCCTGGCTATTTTTTGTTGCAGTTTGGCCAGGCCAGGTTCAAACCTGCCACCCTCAGTACAGGCTGGCACCCTACCCACTGAGCCACAGGCACCACCCAGTACCCCTTTAAATATAGAAAAGACAAGAAATTTTCTTTAATATAATTTTCTATTCCATAATGAAGAGAAATTTATAAATTAGTTTCATATTAGTCTAACATAGTATGTGTAAATTATTTGAAATAGTTATCTGTTCAGTAATGTATATATCGATGTCCACTTGCCAAACTGCAGTAGTTATGAAGACTTTTTTAAATTTATATTTCTAGGACACAGACTGAGAAAGGGGAAGAACGTTTGTATCATCTGCTTATTATATCTTTGATGGCAAAAAAATAAAGGGAACTGGGCATGAATGTAAATCTGTAATTTGGTAAGGAAAAAAGTCACATGACTAATAAAGCCAGCATTAACTTAAACACTATATATTCCTTAAGTACTAAAACATTAGACAATAACATACACACACATTGAACTAAAAAATGGTACTACTCCACTGCAATAATGATTATCCCTGAACAGAAATGCTGTCCAGTTGCAGTGGCTCACACCTGTAATACTAGCACCCTGGGAGGCCAAGGTGGGTAGACTGCTTGAGCTCAGGAGTTCAAGACAAGCCTGGGTAAAAGTGAGACCCTGTCTCTACTAAAAATAGAAAATCTGAGGCAAGAGGATCGCTTGAGCTCAAGAGTTTGAGGTTGGTGTGAGCTATGACGCCACAGTACTCTACCCAGGGTGACAGCTTGAGACTCTGTCTCATAAAAAAAGAATGAATAGAAATGCTGTAAGCAGTTGTCTTTAACTATCCAGGCCCAAAGAAAAGTAAGCATTATTTTACCTGAGGTGACCGAAGATGCAGTGGCACAAGCCCAGAGGGAGTATCAGCTAATACATTAAAATGAGGAGTAGGAGGAGGTCCCATTGCCATAGGTCTACTTTCTGGATCGACTTGGTAATTAACAAGTCCCCATTGCTCTAAAAAGGCATGAACCCTAAAAAATAAAGTTCTAAAAGTTAAAATCTAGAGAATCAACCTCATTTAGTCTATAACCATCATCACATTTTAATAACAAAACAAGTCCACATGTTCTCTGCATACCTTGAACATCTAGAAGCTGTAAGATAGATTTGGTTTATCAGCTGAGGGATAATTTCTACAAGCCCCTAAGAATGTTGATAACACAGCACCTAAGAACTTAGTACAAAGCTTAACAGTTCAAAACACAGAAAGAGAACAAATGCTCATATAGTTACTCCATAAAAGAAGTGATGTATAGATCTAATTTACAGAGGAAAATACACATTTTAAGTGTTTTATATTTAGACAGATCTAGGGAACAGATCCTATCCTCTCCCCATCCATCCCCGGTCATTATATTATTTGACTATAAAATAAATATATAAACTGTAAAATCTAGAAAACAATTATTTAAAATCTTTAATTGCTAAATGAAATACATAAGATTTAGACATTTTATCCACTTGATTTTGTTTTGAGACAGAGTTTCACTTTGTCACCCTGGGTAGAGTGCTGTAGCGTCCTAACTCACAGCAACCTCCAACTCTTGGCTTCAAGTGATTCTCTTGCCTCAGCCTCCCATGTTGCTGGGACTATAGGCGCTCACCACAACACGCAGCTATTTTTAAAGATGGGGTCTCCCTCTGGCTCAGGGTGGTCTCAAACCTGTGAGCTCAGGGAAAGCAACCTGCCTTGGCCTCCCAGAGTACTAGGGTTACAGGCTTAAGCCACCAAGTCTGACCATTTTATCCACTTTAAACAATCAAATGTTAGATTAGCAATGCATTAGTAAACACCCAGAGTGAAATTTCTTGAGAAAAAGTCAAATGTTTTACCTCATCACAGCACACACATCTCCAGTCAAGTTCCTCCGACAAGCAGTGCTGGTTAAATACTCTTGGGGGTTAAGACGATACGTGTCAATCATAAAATTTCGATATGCCAAGTATCTAAAAAGCAAGATAAAAATCAGAAGGTGAACTCATGTCCTTTCAGAAATGATGGAAATCCTAAGAGCCTAGAAACTCCAGACTCCTCACAACAAAATACAACAAAATATTAAAATATTTCAATAAATAACAGCAATATAGCAGTACCATATTGAGCAATTCAAATTATGAGTTAATTCAGAACCTCTAATATAAATACAAAATAACTGTTACTAATATGTAACAGGTAAAATGGAATAACCCGACCACATCAATGTGAAACAACATAAAATACTTGGTCATGGAAAAGGCTGCTTGCTGAATTTGCAACTAACACATGATATTATCTCCTTTACTCCATGAATCAAACCTTTACTGTGCGCCAGGAAAACAGTCCTAACCACCAACTGAAGTAACTCAGTTAGTCCTAAATTCTCAATATAAGGTAAAATCAATAGATTCGCTCTCTACAGAGGAAGAATCTGAAGAACAGAGTCCTTAGAGAGTTAATCCTAAACCACAGGGCTGGTAGGTGGCAGAGCCAGAATCCAACAATGGCTGTGTGGCAGCTCCAGAATCTTTGCTTCCAACCTCTGCTGCCTCTCATTTATACCATTTCTATAGCAGCACATGTGGACTGGCTCTGACAACAGCTACAGACCTTCTCACAGCAGTTCTTTTAGAGAGAGCATAGGTAGGCAACAAGTGGAACCCTTGAGACCAAATGGAGAAATAAGAACATACAAAAAAAAGAAGAGAAAAACTGAGACTGTGGGTCACAACAGATTCCACATGTATCCCTAAATTTCTGCCACAAAATACTGCATGAATGAGTATGAAGGCGATTCCAAAAGTTCCTGGCACATAAATAAAATAGGTAACTTGAAGTCAGCTACAGAAGAGCAGTAAAAGTGCATTGATCAAAAAAGGGTCCTGAATAAGCACAGGTGGATAAATGAAGACTGAAAGGTAAATTTAAAGAGTGCAATGGCCTAAATTGTGCTGGTAAACAGAAAACTACCCAAAACCATGAGTATTCACAAATTCTAAGACAGACAAATTACATGGAAGAATTACATGGAAGAATAACACGTCTGAAAAGGTAAAAAACTGTCAGTTTTTTATTCCAAATCTGTGACTCTGCTTCTTTGTTTGTTTGTTTTGGTGACTCTGCTTTTAAGAGATTTCTTACAGCTTTGTTATAGGAAGGCTAAAATCATCTTTGACGTAGATGTTGCTTAAACTTAGAATCTCAAACTGCCATGTAACAAACAACTACCACAGAATATTTATTACTCAATTATTTGTGTAATAACAGTTTAAACATATTTTGTGCAGTAATATGTAAGTAACAGACTAATACCATGAAGACGACACAGGGAAGGGTATTTATAGTTATTATACGTGTTGATTCTTGAGACAGATGCATACATTGACAGATCACCAAAGAAAAAGTACTTCTGAGAAAATTTCTTTCTTCTAGTAAAAGATTTTTTCAAGCCAATGTAAAAGGATAATATTTTATGTAATTTAGCTTACGTTACATGTACTTATAGCATATTTAGCAATCATTTAATGAGTAGTCATTTATAAGGACAGAAGATAAAGATCCTTCTTTTTTTTTTTT